ACTTAAAGGGGAATTGGAATTTAAAAAAAGCTATTGATTACTAACACAGAGATAATCAAGAAATGTATTTACAGAGAGGGTTGAAACTCTCAATAAACACCTCTGTAACTTCCCACTTGTTTACTTCTCAAATGTACTTACTGGTCTATGTGAAAGACACTAAATAAATGCAAATTGCTGTTGTGAAGATGTGGAATGTTCTGCCACTGAAAGCTATTGAAAGGGAATCAACAGGTATGTTTAAATAAAAGATAATCAGATACTTGTAAGAATAAAGGGGAATGGCAAAAGAGCAGGGCATTGGGATTAAATGATCTGCCGAGATGTAATAAACAGGTGGAAAAGGCTCAATGGGCTGAATGGATTGTTCCTGCTTTCCTAGATTTCTAGTCAAAAACAGCCTCATACAGACCAAGCATAAAATAATTCTGTAATCGATTGCTATGGAATAACCTCTTCTTAAGATGGGCATGTCAGGGAGTAAAGAAGGGTGGATACTCACGTGGAGTACAAACACCAAGTGGCCTGTTTCCATGCTGCACATTCTTTGTAAATCTTTGGAATTCGTTTAAATGTATTAACTCAGAAGCAAAAAATGTTTGGAAGTGAGAATCATAGGAAAACAAAACAAAGATCTTTCAATCTCTTCCTCCCTCCACTCTGTAAACTCACTGAAATCTATTAATGTGTTACATTGTGGCCTATAGGGAGGGAAAAAAAACCTCAAAACTGCTTCAACGGGCGAACAGCATTGAAACACCACCAGGGTGTCCGCATGTAACCTGTGTTAGGAAACCAATGTACATCACATCAACTCATAATAACTGCTCCAACTCAAGATGATCAGAGACCATGTCTTGTGGGTAAGCATAATGGACATGAAATTTCCTAGATGAGATGCACTTCATGCCCCAAAGTGCTATTCCCAGCTCTCCCACCTTTCACAGTTGTAGTTTCCATCTATGTGCTTTTCCAACTCCAATACTCTCTTTAAGAGTTAATAGTACAATAAAAATGATCACATTGCAAATTTAAAGATACTCCATCAATAATTATTAATGTACACTCCTGTGTAGCAGAACCGACTATTTCTACTGCTGCTCACTAAGCAAGTCTTTTTCAATAATCCACTACTTATTAATTTGAACAAACCAGAGACTGTAAATGTAAAGCTAATCATTGTTGCTCCTGGAGTACCTTGACATTTTTGTCTTGAAGTCTCATTAATTTCATGGCATACAAAAAAAAGTAAGGGAAATGTTAACTGATCAATACTCAGCCTCTCATATGTAGCACTTCAGTGTAAATCCCAGTGGGCCTTCAGACCAGAAATTAACCGTGTAAAATATCAAATGTAAATGCTGACCACTGTCGCACAGATGAGAGTACAACCTGCAAAGTCTCATTTAATACAGGGGGAAAATGTTGATGCAGAAAATTACCTGCGATCCTATAAAAAGGTTAAAAGTTCATCCTTTCAAATGATGTATTGACTTTTGCATCTGCACTACTTTCTGATTACAGAGTTAACAGCTCTTTAGCAGACGTTGTATGGTGATGGCTAATTGTGGGGACTCTACCTTCCAAACATCCTATGGAACCTTTATATTTTTTTATTTTAAATGCCATAAAGATGTTTTTGTGCCACAGAACATTGTACACTGAACATCTTATGTTGGAATCTTGGCAGGAGCTGCTTTCTGAGCCTGAGGACCTTTAACCTGCCTGCCAGGATGTGGCATTAGTTTCAGTAGGTTGTTTGTTGTTGGGGCACTTCCTAATATAAAAGAATGCTTTGCATCTTCACGAACTCTAGTCAGCTCTCCGCTTCTTGCTCACCAATACATCCATGTGGGCAAAAAGAGCCTAGCTGTGGTGTTGCTCTATATTGTGGTATAAGAACTATCAGACTATTATAGATGTGTTACTCAATTGTCAATCCATACAATCCCTAAAACATATGTTTGGATTTCCAGTATCTTACTGTGTAAAGTTTCTGATAGATACTTTAGGATGCACCAAGACAGTCAGACAAGAGAACATAGTCTTAAAGTTGCAAAAGGCAACCTCAGTCATTAATTATCAGAGGGTAAAAACTTGTGCTTCTTTGGCTATCCTCATTCATCTTTGCAAAATAATTTTCAAGCCAGAAAAACAAATTGCTGTTTGCTCATAGAGGAGACCGTTTAGTCTGATGTGCATTTGCTATGCCAGCTGCCCCGATGGAGCTTTCTATTCTAAACCAATTTTCTTGCTTTTCCCCTGTATCCATTGATATCTTTGTTTATAAATGTTTATCTAATTCACTTTCAAATTTCATTACTGAATCAGCATCAATCGTCACTTGTGGCAATGCATTCCAATTCCAATAATCCTTTGTGTAAAATAATTTTTCCCACCCTTTCGTGCTGCTAATAATAATCTTGAGTTGATGTGTTCTTGTTGCCCATTCACCAACCAGCAGAAATGTTTTTTTATTATTTAAACATGTCAATGCCTTTCAGAACTTGAACACTGCTATTAGATCATTGAATATCGCTGGTCTATAATTATTGACTGTCTGGTGGGTGTGACTCTCCCCCCTCTTCAGACTTAGGCTGAGCCACAATTCAGTGGCACCAAAAGCTACACTCCACAGTTGGCAACAACAGGGATGGCCTCTAGCAACTTCAGTAACAACAGTGGCAGCCGCTGAAATCTTCAGTTAGCATTGCAGTGAAAAAAATTATCAAATAGTTTAAAATGCAATTTTAGTCAATGCAATAGTTATCACTAGCATAATTAAACCACATGTTACAGTGAGTGGCTAAGTTGTTCAACAGTTAACACCTGGTGATAATTATCACATCAAACTCTTTTCAAACTCCTGCACGTTTTACTCCTATAAGTTGCATTTTTCATCCTTAAAGAGACAAGGTAGTATGAAATGAATGAAACTGATGAATGATCCTCTTAAGGTATGTTATTTTGGTTCTGAGGGACTGCTCTGTATGGGCAATGTGTTCTTTAACATTATTGCAGAGCAATACAAAGACTAGCCAGAGGTTTACAGACTGGTTTTAGTTAGCCCAAAGGATGCAAACATGTTGGAGATGTTATACCATGCAGACCAGCTCAAATGCATCAAGTCTACAGTGGAAACCCTCAGGGTTAAACTATGCTAGTGTGGATCCCTCAGTCCTCAGGATCCAGGCTGTGTACGTTTTCAATTTGTGCACACACACACACTGCTGGGCTTTGGTCTCCTTGCCCCATCCTGTCTGCTGAAGTGTGAAGGGGCCACTTAAAGTTATTCCAGCTGATACCTGGAGCAGATTATCCTGGAAGAACTCCAGATAACAACACAAAAGCACCTTCAGGTGAAAGCCTTTTATATTAAAGAGACAGTATGGAGAAAGGCTATTAAAGATCGAGTTAAAGGTATTGTAAACATTTTAATCTCTCACCAAACTGTTTTAAATTTAATTCCACAGACAGAAAGAGTAACCTCAAGGTAATCAAGTTTTTGTGATCAGCAGCCTTTTATGTTTGAATATAAATCTACGTAATAATAAATAAATATTTCATACATAGAGCATTTTACATCTGGAGGACATCTAAAAGTGCTTCAGCAATTTTATTGTAAAGTATTGCGACTGTGTATCTTTTTTGGTAAATGCAATTGCAAATTGCACACAGCAAATTGTCCCACAAACAGCAATGAAGTGAGTGACCAAATTTATCTGGGGGGATTGTGGTCAGTTCACTGTGAGAAACTCCGTTTTCTTTTCAAATAATACCATGTCTTTAACGTCCACCTGAACAGGCAAATAGAATCTCAGTTTAACTTCTCATCTGAAGGACTGGACTTCTAGCAATGCAACATGCCTCCAGCACTGCGTTCGAGTGTCAGTCTAGATTATATGAGTTCAAAGTCCTAATATGGGGTTTGAACCCACAAACCTCTGACTTGGTGAGAATGCCATCAATTAAGCCAATTCTGCATAACATTCCCATTGAGGATTCCCCAAGGTTCTGACAAAACAATATCAGGGCCCAGTTGTTGACACATCAGTTGTATTTTGCTCACCAGTGATAATTATTACAGTGCTGAAAACTAGAGTCTATACCAGTCAATAATCAATTGGATTGGATCTGGATAGTCTCTCCATTCTTGACTGCACCTTCGCTCGACTGACACCAACCTCCTGCTGGTCCCTCGCACCCTCCGCCCCGCCATCGGAGATCACGCTTTCAGCTACTATGCCCCAAAACTCTGGAACACTCTCCATCAATTCCTTTGCATTGCTCAAATTAAACTCAACCCACCATATGAAAAATTCACCAAGGGTGCCACAATGTTTGTGAACCACAAAAATGCTGACATCAAGTGAAATCAGCTCATTTCCCTCCTACAGCTACAAATGTACACACACATACCCTGTACAAACCTGCTATTACATGTTACAACATTTAAATTGTGATTTTGTTTGCCCTATTGCAAATTGTTATAGAATTTTTTTTAAAAAAAACTAAGATTGACAAGAGATCTATGTCCTTGATCAACTGGTTCTGTACATTTTCAGCTGTTGAATGGTGAATTCAAAGGGTCAACATTTTTCACCATAAATAGCAAGAGATATAAGCTGTTCAATTTGCTTTCAAACATTTACAAATGCTGAAGTACACTGAACTGAAAGTACTCCCATTGGGTTTTCCTCCTCCTTTAAATAATATCCATGATCTTTACCCCCTTATGTAAACTAATTCACTGGGACACTCAAGAGAAGATTATTCCTCAACACAGTTGCTGCAATATGAGTAGGAAATGCAGAAGTGTTCCTAAGTAATCCTTAATATAAATATATTATTTCACATAATTTGTTGTCTAAGTGCTGTTAAATCCTGTTCTGTGTAAGAGGAACTGTGCTTAAATCAACGGGTATGACTGTGCATTTCATTCAGTGTGGTGAAGATCCATCAATATGCCTTAACTAATCCTACCTATGGATTTTACATACCAGAAAAGCTGTGAGACTCCTCTGTGGTGATTCCCAGTCAAAGCAGCTGTTGAGAAAGCGCCCAGTGTTTATGATAACCAGGAGGCACCGCTTAACACGGTAATAATGTTTCTGCAGCAGCTGAAAGGCAACAAATCAAAAAGAAAAGAATTACTATTTCTTACTTAAGGTTTGACACAATTAAATTCATTTAGCAGAATAATAATAATAATCCTTGGATCTGATATAGTGCCTCATCACATTATCCAAATGTCTCAAAGGGCTTCAATATTAAACACCAATTAAAGCAGTTAGATTATGGTGAGGCTAAGAAGGCATTTTGAGTGAACATTAGACACTATAAGGATGTCAACATGGTATGAGAAAGCTGTTTGGTTCACGAAGTTTGCTTGTTCCATGGAAAATCCGACTCTCAGGTGGGTCTCGCCCCACCTACTTAATTCCTGGGAAATCTTCTGCAAGGATCCTTTCCTGACCTTATAGACATTAAAACAATAATTGAATATTCATCCTCCCATGTCTATCATACATCCCTGGCCTCCTTCCCACCTCAAACATTCCCCCTGACCCAGCAGTACAGAAATCATTGTGTTCCTTGGAGCACATTTTATATCCCGGTCTGTAAATATACTTCAACCCTATTCTCAAGGAGATACTTATTCACTTCTTTTTTCTGAAGCAGTTAATTGACACCTAGCATTTCTGTCCATTTATTCGCAAGAGTGCATTCTGTTGCTGAAGAATCACACAATGACACCCATAATCACAGTTAAGTATTGCACGAAGCTTGTAATGACACTCTTGACCCCTGTGAAGACATCTGTTGTGATTTTATCACCCTCAATACTAATTGAAATATTGGGTGGAAATTGGTTAACGTACTGAAGTAATCATGTTAGTACATGTTTACGAAAGATAGAGGCTTGAAGGGATATGTGAATAAGGCCAGGGCAGTAGGACTGCATGACCACCTTGTTCTGACAGCCAGCGCAGACTTGAAGAGCCAAATGGCATCCTTCCATGTTGTAAAGTGCAGTGTGTAAGCCTGACTCATTTAGTAACACTCAGTTGCTAATGCCTCTGAGTCAAAAGGTTGTGTTGTGCATTTAAGCCCTACATGGGACTTGGAACTCAAATAGTCTAAGCTGGCATTCCAATGCAGTACCGGGGTGTGCTGCATTGTCCTTTGGTCGAGTCGTTTATAATAATAATAATCATTGCATTTGATATAGTGCTCTATCAGGTCTTTGAGACATCTCAAAGCGCTTCACAGAATACACAGTAAAGTGAATTAACTGTGTACTTTGTGGGAGAAACATTTAATTTCTGCTTGTTCGGGTGAATGTTAATGATCTGATGGAAGTTTTTCCCGGTGTCCTGGTCTTACCATTAATTCCCCTAAATAAAAAATCGGTCTTTCGCTTCACAGTAAGACATTGCTGTGTGCAAATTGGCTGCCGTGTTTGCCCACAAAACATGCAGTCACTTCACTTTACATTATATCCTGTGAAGCGCTTTGGGATGTCCTTCTGACGTGAAAGGCACTATACCAAATATAAGGATTATTATTAAATTTCTATAATTCTACAATAATAATCCTTGCATTTGATATAGCGATTATCATGTCTTCAAGACGTCTCAAAGCGCTTTACAGAACGTACTGTAATTTAATTGACTGTATACTTTGTGGGCGAAAAACAGCAACCAAATGTGCACAGCTGTATCCCAGAAACAGTCATGGATTGAATGACCAAATTATTAATTCTTTTTTATGTATTTTTGTTTTTGAAGGGATTATTACCCCCTATTATTATTATTTAGTATTAAATTTCTATAAGAACATAAGAAATAGGAGCAGGAATAGGCCATTTGGCCCCTCGAGCCTGCCCTGCCATTTAATAAGATCATGGCTGATCTGTGATTCTGTGAGAAAGCTGGATATTTTCACTGCTTTGCACCAGCACTGGTATTATTTTGCCTTCACTGCATATGATTTAACCCAATTCTGAAAGAAGAACTAAGTCTCCAAATTAAGCCTCAATTTAATAATTTTTCACAATTCTGAGGAAACGTAAATTTTAGGACAAAATCTGAATTGTTATGACGAGGTACACATTTGGACCTCTGAAGGGGAAAAATGGGGAAACATTTGTCTTAAAATTTATGTTTCCTCAGAATTTAAATATTGAATATATATATTTCAAAATATTAAACCAATAATAAATGTCAGCAGAAATACAAATATTTTAACCCTGGGTCTTCAACTAGCATGTCTTAAGAACACTGGGTTGGGACGTCCTCCCGACATGAAAGGCGCTATACAAATGTAATCTTGTTGTTGTTGTTGGGTTATCTCATCTGGGGTCAGTTGTTTCTTTTAGCTAGTTCTCTGATGATGTCAGCAATGCTTACTGATTTAAAGCAGTCATTAACACATGGAGTCCTGTAGCTCAGCGGTTAGAGCACTCGCCTGGCAAGTGAGAGACCTGGGTTCAATTCCAGGCAGGTCAGGGCGAAACCTTGGGCAAGTTTCCTTACTCCACACGCCTAATAATAATCCCTCCAAAACAATAATAAATTGGTCATTTTCAATCCACGACTGTTTGTGGGATACTGCTGTGTGCAATTGGCTGCCGCATTTCGCCAATTCACTTTACAGCATATTCTGTGAAGCGCTTTGAGATGTCGAGAAGACGTGAAAAGCGCTATATCAAATGCAAAGGTTATTATTAACCAAAAATTGTACCTTTCAGCAAGAAATACTGAAGATCATATGTAATCCTTGTCCCCTGAGTCCTCCGCTCCACCCTCGGCGGCCGTGCCTTCAGCCACTATGCCCGAGGCTCTGGAACTGCCTTCCTCACTCCCTTCGTCTCGTTCCCTCCCTTCCCATTTTCAGGTCTCTGCTGAAGACCTTTCTTTTCGACCGGGCCTTTGGTCACCTTCCTCCCCCTCCCCCTGGCTTGGTCCCGGGATCCGTTACTGTAAAGAGCTCTGAGACGCCGTCCGGCGTGGAGGGCGCTATATAAAGCCAAGTTGTTGTTGTAAAAAAAAGGAAATCAGAACCCAGCATAATTTCCTGCATATTTGGCCATCTTCCCAATGTGAAAGGTGTTATATAAATGCAATTTGTTGGTGTTGTAATGGGAGAAGGAAATAAGGTGTCTTTATAGGCTAAAGGAGGTGCCAACAGTTTTTAGATGCTTGTGAATCACAAAGTAAATTTAAGGATTAAGACATAAACCAGGCTAGACTAGATGAGAACACTCTTTAAATTGTTCTTCAAACAATTATGGGCACCAAAGTCTTTTACATAATAAATCAATTCAGGCACCTTCTAAATCTGGCAGATGAATCTGCTAATGAATCCATTATTTTTTGATCTTATTAAAGAGTCAGTAATGTGAATGTTTTTTAATAATATTGAAAAGGTATTTTACTAATATTAAAAAAGGGCTTTTAAAAGCTCTTCTGTGGACTATTCTTGAGCAAAGCCCAAATCTCTGAAAGTTTCTGCATTTATACTGCAGTCGTTGTGAATCACTTAGCTGCCAAAATCACCTTCTCAAGTTGGTGTTGGCTGTCTAGTCCCAGTGAAATTTTAGATCATATTGCATTCACTTTATTCATACTGTGCTTTTTCCAGTGACTGTTTATAACTGTACTTTAATCAAGAATAAATATAAAATTAAACCAAACATTTATGCATACCCTAAAAAAATCTTTTTAAAAAGTTGGTGATATATTTTTGTCAACTTAGCTCAGTTGATAGCACTCTTGCCTCTGAATTGGAAGGTTGTAGGTTGTAGGTTCAAGCCCCATATTGGGAGTTGAACTCACATAGCAACAGAAATTAAATTAGAATGGTGTTCCAAGTACAGCCCTGGACCACACAGACCAATGTTCAAGCTGTGTTAGCATTCTTAGGCAGGTCAACAGTTGGGCTGTTACAATCGGCCTCAGCACCTGGTTAAGATGGGGAAAATGAGCGATGGTTCCACTTCTGATCACTGTTCCAAGACCCCCGCTAATGGGGGCACGTTATGTGGACATCAGGTAAGAACATGGTCAAGTGTAACTGTGATGTTGAAAAACCTAACAACATTCACTGATAAGGTTTAGAACTGAATGAAGTCCACTTGGGTGAGAAACCAGAGGGAAACCTGCTCCCAAGGAACCATAACCCAGTAGAACAGGGAAAAATAAAAACTCAAATATCTTAAGGAGAATAGTAAGGAGAGGAGAAAGGTGAAGGTGAAAAATAGGCATGTCAAAGAGTAAAGTTGTGTGCTGCGCATTTAGAATTAAAACACGGGTATTGGCAATGTCATATTTTGATAATGAATTGCATAACTGTCACAAAAACAACTCCCTAATTATTTTGCATAATGCTAAAGAAAGTCAACACACCTTTTATGGATTACAAGGTCACAGTGTTAGCCGACAAGAAATATCTCCAATAATGTTTGACACTACTATCCGAAATAATTCAAAATATACAATTAGCTCAATCACTGGAGGCTAGTTTTTGATGAAGTATATGTGGCTACAATGTAATACAAAGCTTGATTAAAATACACTAGTACAATTGTTTCCTTAAGCCATGCAGGGTAATCTTAATTCTAAATCTATTTTTCTCTCCACATCCAGAATAAATGCAATTAAATTGAAGTACTATTTTCAAATGTTCCCACACCAGTTTCCCCCCTAAAGCATGCACTGATGTTGAGACATGGTTTTAGGTTCACTTAGCATACCAGTAGCCCACTTAAGTGGTCACTCGTCATTTGTGGTGTAGACACAGAGGGGTGGAGGATATTCAACCCTGAGAACATCACACAAGAGTATAAGAAAAACCAAGGATGAGAAAAAGTCATTCAGCCCATAAGTGTTCATCTCCTCACTATTCTGTTTTAAACGAAAATACAATCTACCTTTATTTTCGAATGTCTTTTGTTCTGAACATTTATCACTTTTTCCAGCAAAACTGTTAGGAATGTGGTTATGTATCACTAGGAAAAAGGTATTTGGCTTGCTGACCCTCTTTTGCTGTTTTATTAGATCATGGCAGCACTTCTTAATTGAATTCCTATTTTGTATTATTTCTTTTATATGCTCAC